AACATACTAAACCAAAAGGGAAAAGAGACAAAGGACAGGTGGTGTCCCTTCTTTAGAAAGTAGCTGGCTCCTTATTAACCTGATATCAACCTACTTCAAGTTAAACACACTGGAAACTTCATGCAAAAAGAGATTGACTGAAAGCAGTGAAGATACAGCTCGTGGCTTTAAACAAGGTTTCCTATTCTGAAGTACTCCAAACAGAACACTTAGCTTCATAATGGCTTGCTAAAAAGGAGTGCTGGACAAGGGTGGGCATAGACTGTGATTTAGTCTTTTCATTAGAGTACTTTAGCTACCTTGTTTTAATAGACACTATGCAACAGTCCTCTCAATTATTCAGCAGTGGTGCGGACCCATCTGGTCCTCGGTACGGTCCTGAGGGATTTCATACGGTGACATCAGCTCCACCGAGCTACACACTGCAAATCCATCATGAAACCTGATCCCCGAGAGAGACCCTCGCTGAGGAACATTTTTGGCGCTACAAGTCAATGACATCACCTCTTTTTGTTTCTCTTGGATCAGCCTTTCTTTCTATATATCCTTGCGCTAAGTTTTAACTCACTCGTGGCAGACTATGACCATTTTTTGTTCTTTTCACTACTTCTCATTCCTTTCTCTGGATGACATCACTTGAGGCAGCTTTTAATAATTTCTCATTTAAAGCGGTGATGGAGGATGGCATTATGTTGCCTTTGGAAAGGGCCCCAACATAAATCAAACACAACGTACTCTGGAGCTTTTGAACTTTATATAAACTCCACATGGCTTTACTTTTACAGGGTAGAAAATTGGTTCTCAACCCTGGTATGGGCACAACAGTTGCTTTTCATTTAGTCTTATCAGGGACGGACTTAAACATACAGAGGGTGAAAGAAATCAGACTAACTACCTCGAAGGACGTTCAAAATACCACGGCTTTGGAATCGCTGCCCTCGGCATTTTAGGTCCCATATGGCCTATAAAGTGTAAACAAAGAAAAGTGAAACTAAGCTCTTTTGGTGGCACACTTTGTGTTATCTATGTCTTTGGTCTAGATACGTTTCACATGAACACTGTGTTTCCTCTGAAGGCACAGACTATGTGGTGCAGTACGTGGGGGGGGTTTACCACACTATTCAGAGGAAAAGCCAGCAGTGGTTCATTACTTTGTGGTTATAGAGGAACTCAATTCGGTTTATATACTGTGGTACTGCTTTTTTAAAGGTCATATATGGAAGTGTTGTAGCATGGTTTCTTACAAAAAACAAAAACACTTACATTAAGCAGTATTTATACACATAGCGAGTAGTATCGCTTGCATATTTTTCTTTTGGGTCTATATATTAAAAAGTGAAAAATGCCCATCCAGGTGTCTCAAGTTCAGGGTGATGTCGATAAATGTCCTATTTGCGAGTCTAAATCACCGGTGTCCAGCTTAACATGGTATAAATAAATAAATATTTTAAATGCTAAAAACAGCATCTTCTGCAATTTCAGTCCGACAATTTTTGATACATTGATAATCAAAATAGTTGGCAATTGTTTTTCTGTCCACCGTCATATTCATTAATCGACTGATTGGTTGCAGTTCCTTATGAAAAACATGTCTCCTTAATAATCAGTAATAATCTCATTACTGCTTGGCCTACCAAACAATAATAATACACTATTTATTTCTGTTTTATTGTGTTGCACTGTTGGAGGAGCCTGTGACCTAAGATTTTCATCGTCATAGTAACTACACTGTGGCTATGTTCACATGACCAATAAAAGCCTTGAACCAGTAAAACAGAATTCCACATCTACCATTGTAACGGTTAAGAAAACCTGAGTTCCTGACAGTCTCCAACTCCTTCCATGTCTGTTCAGTCATTGTGTCAGTGACTAGTGTGTTGTTGATGAAACTCTCTATTGTTCTAATGTAAATAGCACACCCAGTTTCTGGGAAAGCGTGTCTAGGCCGGGGGTCACTAATGCGGGAGAAACAAGCCTTTTGAGTCCAATCTTACAGGTCAGTGGACAAGCATTGAGCACCAGTGTTGTGCCCTCTGTCAGACTACAATTGGACGGCTGATTGAGCAGGCAACATTTCAAAACCGGTAATAACATCAGTGTATGGGCTCCGCGTCAACCTCTGACCCATACAACCTTATCTGTTTCCACATTACAGAGGAATGATGAAGGCCAAAGACGAGTCACAAGACAGTGAGAGATCAAATCAAAGAGCTAGACATGCCGTGATCTGGGGCAAAGGAATGCCTTAAACAGTCTAGACTCATGGATGGTACAATTAAGGAGGATTCCTCGTCAACCCAGTCATAAAGTGTAGCTTACAGCCATTCATAGATCATCTTTGTTCACACATATCCTATTCCCTCCTCCATTAACTAAGGCGTCAGTGACCATAATCCCAGTTTTTTTCAAAGAGTAGCACCACACTAACCTCAGACTACCAAAACCAGAGCCTCCTTGCTTTGAGTTATTCTTAAACACAGCTTTCTGCAGCCTCGGGTTGAGGCTCCTCTCCTAGCTGATGAAAAGGCAATTCAGAGAGGCAAGGCGCAGCTGTGTGGTTAACACTGATTATAACAGGATTTTTACATTCTTGAAGGAATAGCAATGCAAAAAATGGACACAAGTCTCCTGTGTTCTTCAACCATCCTTTAACAGTGCACAGAGCTGTGGATGTTCACATGATCTCATAGATGACATGAGACACAACTAGGTTATGAATATAGGCCAAGCAATGGTGAAGACAACCTTGTGGGCCCCAACATATAGGCCGTTTCTCAATCGCGAGGATGCTCGCTTGGTAGCACATGTCTTCCGAGTCACTTCCTTCAGAAGCTAGGCAAGAATCCTTCCTGGCAATGGGAAAACGAAGAGTGGAACAGGCTAGCAAGTGTGCAGGTGTGCGTCATATGAGAGGCCCGCCTTACATTTTCCGCCACAGATTTGGGGAAATTGGTCCGTGCGCAAAGCATTGTGGGGATTTGAAGGACACAAAGTCTACCCATGTGCAGCCTCGAAATTACCCCCAAACCAAGGACGCGGCCTCGGTGGAATTCCAAGTATGCTGGAGATTGGAACAGTCCTTCGGCGGCACTCGATGACGTAGTATCCTTGAAATATTGGCTTGGAAGCCAGTTTCCTCGCGATTGAGAAACGGCCATAGAGTGCCACAGTGACGCATCCTAAAACCCGGAAGTAAACTCCTTCCGGTTCCTTCGACAAAAACGCAATACATTTTCTCCATAGGATTTTGGAAAATAGCTGGAAATAAGGTCTGGGGTTGAAACACATTTAAGAGACGGATCACGTTTTGTTCAGCCGGATAATCTCCACATGTCTACCCTACTTTTATCATTTTCGAATCATAAATCTAGTCGCCAGAAGCAAAATGCTAACGTTATGCTATAAACAAACTACAGCAGGGTCGCTGCTTCAACGTCACGCCAACTTAAGATCCATATTCAAAACTACAGATTCAAAATTGTACAAGTTGAAGCGTTTGTTTGCAAGAGGCAGGGACTTGCTTTCAAGCAGAACACGGGAAAAAACAAACTTAGCGGGAGTGTTTACGTGTTCGGTGTAATGACGTAAAACGGCTTCGACAACTTCTGTAGTCCTATTCAGCCACTTGGTAACAACCATCGTTTTTCAGACATGTAGACTCTTCAGAAATCACCAGCGGGGTCACTTCTGATGTATTTAATGTCGTAGAACAAAACGTGATCCGTCTCTTCAATGTGTCTCAACCACAGACATTATTTCGAGCTATTTTCCAAATTCCTATGGAGAAATTGCATTGCTTTTTTGACGAAGGAACCAGAAGTGGTAAAATGCTAACTTACTTCCGGGGTTTAGGACGCGTCACTGTGGCACTCTATAGGCACCACATAGAATACACATGTAGGGCAGCAACTACATCTGCTGATAGTTGTCTATATAAATCAATTAGTTGTTTGATCTGAAAAGTGTGCATGCCAGTATCTCAAGAGTCAAAGTTGAGGTCTTTAAAGCTTTGTCAGTTCACAATACAAAAACATTCAGTAAACTCCAATAAGGGATAAGCAGGACATATCCATAGTTCAGAGGCTGAACTCAGCATTTGTTGTCATTTTGGCATGATAAATTACATAATTAATCAGTACAATATCAAAAAGAGATGGCTATAGTTTTGTTTGTCCATCAACATATTGATTACATGACTTATCATTGCAGCTCTAGTCAGTAGCCACCTGGTAACATATTTATATTTACCTTGCACTTTTAATAAACATACTGTATCTTGGTGCTCCATCCCCCATTAATAAACTGTATAAGCATCAAAATATACTTAAATTAAAAGTACTCATTATGCAGATTGGCCCATTTCATAATAATATGTTTTGATAAATGTAAGAGCTGAAAGCTGCAGCTAGTTTTAAATGACTTTGTTTGCTGCAGGGGAGCTTGTGAAATGTACTCCAGTTGTAACTAAAGTCTTATTTAAGTGTTGATTATATTTAACCTATTAATGGAAATATGTAAGACTAAAATGTACATACATGTAGTGGGGTAGAAGCACAAAGTAGCAAAACATGGAAATACTCAAGTCAAGTACAAGTCTCTCAAACATTGCAGTTAATTACAGTACTTGAGTAATCTACTTAGTTACTACACCACTGGTTGGCCAACCTATGCTTTGACAGCTGACAGCAATGGGTGCGCGTTTACAAAACACAGCAAATACATGTAGGTTAATTAATAATAATTAATAATTAACTTACAAACAATAAACACAATGGGAAAATGTGTATAACCCAGTTAGCTATGGGGCTAAGAGAGGAAAGAGTGTAACGTTGCTAATTAACAGTTAGCCGTTATTAACCGTTGTGATTAAATGACGTTCAAAAACGTTAGCAGTTACATATTTATATCAGGGAACGCTAGCTTTGTAGCTTCAACACACATTCATATATCTCTGGAAAATATAAATCCTCTTTAGGTTATACAAGACAACATAATCTCACCTGTGAGCTTGACCAGTCAGTGTGATGAACGCTAACCTCTGGCTTATCATCAATCACAGCAGTATTAACGTTAGCTAGCTTGCTACACACCCCTACCACTACTAGCTTATCTCAGGTAGTTTTGGTGGCTACAACACCGCCCCATTTTTTCCTTACCTCATATGGCAATACACACACGCCTTCTCATAACTGTGCTGTCATCAAGTTATTTCTTCCACTCTCTGACGTAAATAAAGGCTAACCAGCTGCGCGGCTAGCTAACTAGCTTTGTCAACTTTTTGGCTCGACTTCCTGTTGGGGTTTCCGCATAGCAGTCCTTATCGTCGGTGTCCATCAGCCTACAGTATATGTTTCTGTTCTCAAAACGGCCTATCAGCTATAGGGAAACAACGGGACATCATCCACACAAAGGTATCTTTCAACCAGAATCTGCAGTAGTTTTCATATGTCTTATAAACCGCTGCCATGTGACACCCATAGTGTCACATCACAAACATGCCTTTCCCTAAGGTGTGTATCCCTCATTGAAACAATCTGCAATCATGCATTGACAAAAGACTTCACCTTATTAGGTAACCTGTGTGGCAGTCCAAAAGAAAGTAATACATGCAATCTCCTTCTTTCATCCTGATTCACATGAAAGTCCATTACTTACCCTGTTAGTACAGCTGCAGTGTGTATCTCCTTTTTCCTTCCCCCTCTTCCTTTTGTTCTTGTTTTTTCTCCTGGTCCAGGCTAAGTAAGAGCTGACTGTAAAATAATGGTAACTTATCTTTCTCTCTTCCCCTCTCCAGCTATTAGACCCTCCCCCTGTGCTTTTCAGTCTGGAAAAGGAATGACACCATCCTTCCAAACAAGTTCTCTCTCGTTTTACTTTGGCCCAGGAGTTGTGTATTACTACGTAAACAGCACCCTCCCTCTCTCTTTCTCTGTGTGTGTGTGTGTGTGTTCATATAACTGTCCAGTTAGACCCCTCCTCCTCCTGCTGCTCTCCTTTCTCTCTGGATTCTTGAAGCATTCTTCATTCAATGACATCAACCCTGTTGCCTCTCCTTGTAAGGTCAGGCTGAGGGAATGAGGGAGTGAGAGGGAGGGAGAGATAATGGGGCTAGACTCGAGGCTTGATTAGATACAGACACTAAAACGGTCATGCTTTTTAAACACAAGGAGGCACAACGGTGGAAAAAAGTATGCTCAAACAGGCCTGGGTTGTGGTATACTTTGGCTATTTTAACTTTTGTTTTTACTGTTAGGCAATACAAAAAAGTCTGGTTTTATGCCTTTCAATACCTTGCCTCGACAGGCAAAAGCTGAGGATCAGATTGTAGAGGAATTATTTTTCCGGTTGCCAAGTGTGCTGCCACATCATTATTTGCTTTGCACTCAGGCAGTAAACATGTGGGAACTTGGATTGCTCCTTTTATGGCTCTTTCACAAATCATATTTGTTCATCCTGACAATGAGGATGTGATCGCCCTTCACCGTGGTGTTAGATAACACCTCCCATCCTGCACAAATGACTGCTACTATGACTTAATATCCTTTTATGCAATACACACACACACACACACACACACACACACACACACACACACACACACACACACACACACACACAACACACACACACACACACACACACACACACCACACACACACACACACACACACACACACACACACACACACACCATAATGACTCAGGTAGCCCTATCATAGTCTTGTTATCACACTTTCAGGTGTAGTCATTGCTCGTATAATGCAATAAATCACTCATTACTTTTGACTACATTATTCAGTCTTTTCACATAAATGAACATTCATTTTTACATTCTTATTTTAATATTTTGAAAGTGTAATTATTATTTTACATTTAGATTTTTTGTAACATGGGTCCGGTAATTCAAACAGTGTTTCTGCTCATAATGCAAATGAACAAACACATTTATGAATGGGCTAAAATCAAGACTGACTTTTACCAGTGCTTTTTTATTTTTATTAAGTCCATTAATTGATAAGTCATCCGACAAATAATACACTATTTTAATAACTTATCAATGAATTGAATGAAATGAAAAAGTCAAGCAAATATACCTAAGAAAGCAAATTCAAGATGCCACCTAGAGTTGTGGGGAATTGTGACATTATTTAAAATGTGCTTCACCAAAGATGATTAAATTACAGAGAAAATAATCAACAGATCAACCGATCATATAAATTATTTGTACTTATGTATTTCTACAAGTAAAAAGAGAAAGGGCATTGGAACAATTGCCGTTATCTCACTGTATGACTCTATATAACATTTCAGAGGTTTTGGAGCGAGCATCAAGTGTCCACTTCTGTTCTGACTCATCTCTCCCATGACTTTCAGGTTGAGTAGCAGCAGAGTTGCATTTAATTCAGGTTGTGAAACCAGGCAGATCTCCCCTCTTTCAGACTTCTGCAGTAGCCGTTGTGTAACCTGTTGTTGCCTGATTCATGTCTGTGAAATACACAGGGAGTGGTCTTTGGGGTCTCTGATAGCCCATTGTCCCGCTAGGAATGCTTCCAGTCTCTCCCCACTTCCACTGGGACTAAAAAAACATGTTGAATTTCCACGCCAAAAAAGTGCTCTCAGGCAGGTGACATTCGGGAGGAGGTCAACTTCTGTTTGCCTTTCCAAATTCCTGCCAATTTACAAGCCTGCCTTCTGTCTCAGTGGCGACGTTAGTTTGTTGAAATGACACCAAAGTAAAGCTCTTCTTCCTGTTTTCATGCAGCTGCAAACATCAGCCGGTGCCATGGAGACTGACGTTTGGATCAGGCAGGGCAGAGGGAAGCTCCGGGGTCCCCTAAGTCTGGAGGTAAGATACAAAAAATAAAAACAGGAGGCCGTCACAATCAGAGCCAGACAGCCTGGAATGCAGCCAAACTTTGGAGAGAACCGTTCGTCTCCCCCTCCCTCTCTAAGTGCCATATTTCTCCCCCTCTCTCTGTTTCGTGAGGCATGTTTTTTTAAACACTTTTCTTTCCAAATTCCTCCAGCCCTGCCCTGCAAACGCTGCACTTTTATTTCCCTTTTCATATCTTTCTTTCCGCTTCTCCCTTTCCCCCTCCCATTGCTCCTGTGAGTCAGCAACTGCCTTATAATGCTCTGAGTTATTATCCTGTTCCTGGATCATTTCCAACCCTCTTTTTCTCCCTCACTAATTCGCTCAACAGAGAAAAGGAGGAAGCTATTTCAATGGAGGGTTAATGTTTCTTTAATTTCTCACACCCAACTAAATGCATTTTAAAGGTGTCGAAAATGACCATAGAGTAGTAGACTGTATAAAGCTCATGATGAATACCGGACTGAGCAGTTCAACTTGGCTTTCCTTCCACTCTTTCTCTGATAGTATGTTGTAACCACACACTCATTACATTCCATGTTACTTGTTAGACGCTTTTATCCAAAGCGACTTACATACTCAATACTGTGGGCAATCCCCACAGGAGCAATTTGGGGTGAAGTGTCTCAGGGACACAACGACATGCTGACTGCAGTGGGGTTTGAACCTGTGACCCCCTGATCTGAACACCAACGCACAACCCACTGCACCACACGCCCACCACTCCTACATTTTAATAAATGAACACTGCTTCTGAACCTCGCATGAGAATTTAAGAGGTCTTGTTATGTTCATTTTGGTTTATATGTGTACTTAGTGTCTCCACTGTGTCATGTCTCCACACTTTAATGTTCAAAAAGCTCTTTATTTCTCTCATATTGCCTGTGCGGCCGCACCTCTTTTCACCCTCTGTCTGAAACCAGAGCCCAGTCTGCTCTGATTGGTTAGCTGGCCGGCTCTGTTGTGATTGGTCAACTGTTTAGAGCTCTCCCGCCCCTTAGCCTATCACGTACAATTTGTTGGAGCGCTACCCATTAGTAGCCTAAGTGTTACATAGTGATGTCACTGTATTACAGAAGTAAACAAATGAGTCCAATTGAGGCGTTTCAAGCAGGGGGGAGAAACTTCCTCTGGAGCGAGCTCTGGGATTTTCGCCATTTATAAAAATGCGTATTATATTAGGTTAAACAATATCCCTGTCTTGGACCCTCTGTGCTCAATTTATGGCAATCCCAGCTGTTGTTTGAAAAGGTAATTCACCTCTTGTGTCATTACAACACACTTCTAGCAACACATAAAGCTGGTTTTAAAAAACGTTGTTAGATATTATTTGAGATATAACCAATATTTGTAAAATTCCCTCATAAACAAAGTTAGTTTAGCGCAAGGAGGAGCTTTTCTCAATTTCACATGTAAACAAATCTCTGATCATTTAAGTTTGGTGATGTGAGATAAATTGATAAAAGGAAGTTGTAATGCACAAATCCTCTTGCAAGTATGTATAGCCTACAATGGAGTTGCAAAGTAGCTGTGCCCACAAAGCGGAAAAAAACAAAACATTAAGCCATCAAGCAGACATTCCGGGCGTGCTTTAGACAGGATAAGAACCTGCATACTTGAGAGAGAACATAGTCTCTTCACTCAGCACCTGGAGAAAAACATCTCCCTGCAGCCAAACTGGCTCCCATTCAACCAGACTGTAGAGCCCCAGTTCCCCCAGCAGGGGTCAGGCTCACACAGTGGTGAGCACAGCCAGACTAATGGCGCGTTTCCACTGCAGCGGGTAGCTCGCTTTAAGCGCGCCGAGCCGTGCGGGGCCCGTTTTTGGTTGCGTTTCCACTTGGCCTAGTGTTGGCCCGAGGCTACTTTTTCACCCTTTTTCTGGCCCGACTAAATCGTGGTTCTATCGAGGCCAACAAGCGGGGCCAACAACCGGGCGGAATATGCTAAACTAGTGACGACTCTGATTGGTCAGAGAGAATCGTCACAATTCTCGCGCGACTTAATCCCTAGTGTCGCATATATTAAGGGACGCTTGCAGCATTTTTGTAAACCTAAGAAAATGGCAAAGAAAAACATACCGTGGTCGATTGACGAAGTTGCGACGTTCCTCCAGCTGATTGCAGATGATACAATCCAGCGGGAGCTCGACGGCACAACTCGCAACCTAAAAGTTTTTCAGGAGGTCTCTGCACTGTTGTCCGAGCGCAAATTCTCAAGGACTTTCCAGCAGTGTAGGGAAAAACTGAAAAAGCTTAAGAGTGAGTATAGAGCCGTGAAGGACCACAACGGCCGGAGTGGTTCAGATAGGAAAAGCTGGAAGTGGTTCGACCTGTTGGACGCTATTTATGGCCATAGACCGGCCAACGTTGGGAGGGAGGGAGGCCTGGACTCTGCAACCGCGTTACTGGAGTCCCTGCATGGTAAGTCTTTGCTAACACTCTGTTATTTGCTTGAAAGCGTTGTGTCCCTATCTATTCTAAAGCTCACTTCTAACAAACACATTTTATCCTTACATTTATGTTCGACAACCCATGCTTTTATGGAGCCCCGAAGAGCTACATAGCTAGCTGGCAGATAGCATTAGCTAGAGCTATTGTTTGCGAACACCACATGCGCCATTGTTTAGGTTCTTCTTTTCTACAGTTGTTGTTGCTATTTAGTATTGTGCTACAGTAGTTTGTGGAATTAACAAGTCATGTTGCTGTTCTAGATGATGCCATTGGGACTAGTGAGGAAGAACAGTCCCGAACAACGGGTGGTGGCAGTGTTCCGTCCTCAACATCATCAGAACACACCTCAACTCGACCACAGACACCAGTCGAGGAACCGACACCAACGCCGAGTGCCATCACGACACCGCAGCGTGTGGTTCTAGGTAAGAAATAGGCATGGCAAAACGACTGGAATTGTGACTTTTTTTTAAACTTTAGATCATCCATCGTCATTAAGTAAAATAAGCTATACCACTGTGTGGAAATGCTCTGTTACAAACTAGCTAGTACGCAGCTAGTACAATTGTGTGTGACATCCTATTATATACATATATTTATATTCATTATCAACAGGCTGGACATAATGTAATTCACTTTCACAGTCATTGTAAACATCTAGGGCATAACTGTCTTTAGTTCATTCTTACTGTTGTTCTGCTTATACATTGTATTGTATCCTTGTGTGACCTGTACCTGTACCTGTCCTTTTCATTGTTATTGCTAATTCTTATTGCTATAATTATCTTATCGTCATACAGGCAAGAGGAAACGAGGAGGAGACGAGCACCTAGCACAGCAGGCACGGCACCATGAACAGAGCCTGGCCCAGGTGGATCGGCACTGGCAGCTGACCATGGAGGCTGCTGCCCGGGCGAGGGAGGAGGAAATGGCCTTGAGAAGGGAGGAGAACGCTCAAACTCATGCGTTTAACCTAGCCTTCCTGCGCACTCTCGGCCAGGTTCTAGGGGGCAGCCGACGTGGCCCGTCTCCTCAGGAAGACGAACCACCTCTGTAATTTTAATATTATTCAGTTTCATCTCTCTTGTTTTTGTTAATTTGTAAATGCAACATTTATACTTTCTTGTTTATTTCTTATCTTTCCTTTTTTTTTTTTATGTCATATCTTTTTATGCTGCTGCAATACAAACATTTTTTTATTTTGTATTTGTACAATGCCATGCCTTTTTATGCTGCTGCAACAAATATATATATATTTTTAATTTCTATTGTACATACAATGCCATGCCTTTTTATGCTGCAACAAAAAACACTTCCCAAATTGGGATTCAATAAAGTACTTCTCATCTTATCTCTTGTTGATAAATGCATCGTCTGATTTCCTGCCATCATCTGATTAACAAACTGATTTCCGTGAGCATGTAAACAAAGTCACTGGGTTGCCACTCACACACATTACAGTTTTGGAATCCAATCATAAACTGAAATGTACAATTAAAGGGCTTTAAATCAGCAGAACAAAAACTCAGATTCACATGAGGCAGAAGTTATAGGCCTATATTTTTCCTAAATAAAAATAGGCTACAACTAATACCATTACTAATAATATTTGTGGATCTTTAAAAACAAAAGCCTAAAATATCACTCAAAAACAATTGTAAAAATAGCCCAATTAAGATCTAGATATAAACATACATGCATTTATAAAGCAATAAGAAACACCATCAGTTAGGAAAAAGCCCATAAGATAAAAGTTAATTTTAAGAAGAGATTTAAAGCAAGAAATTGAGTTTGCTTGCTTGAGGTCCTCCTCTAAAACATTATTTGGTAACTGACACATTACTTAAAGTAAAATATTTCCTTTTACAAATAAACTGGAAGAGAAGGGGGATAAGAGATCATTTATGTTTACTTTCATATTTGCTCAAATGTTCTTATTATAGGGAAGTACTTACTGGTGCTTGAAAACCAAATATTTACTAAATAGTCAATTCTGATAACATTTTTTTGTTTAAATCATTTGACAAACACATGTGAAAGAGAAAAATAGATTTATTTATGTTCAATACAATGTAGTAATAATAAAAACAAAACGTCACTAGCCTTAATGGCCCACAATCTTTCAATGTCGTGTTTATAATTACAAACACAAGAAATGTATATCAACTTACTGAACCATGATGTTATGAACCAAAACATTCAAGTTTCCTGTATACAATGAATATTTAGCTATTCAGGTAGCGCATCAAACCCTCTCGTATTTCAGTGCCCTCCTCCTCTGCCCCATGAGCCACTGCTACCCCTGGTGCATCCCACCCATCATCATAGGTCTCTCCATGACTCTCGCAGAGGTTATGCAAAGCACAGCATGTCAGCACCATTGATTTAACAAGTTTCACATCACAGTCATTTATTTTCATGAGGCAACGCCACCTTCCCTTCAGTCTACCAAAAGCGTTTTCTACCACTACCCGTGCTCTGCAAATTCTCTTGTTGTAGATCACATGTTCTGCTGTCAGCCGTCCATTGTCAGGGAACGTTTTTATGAGCCAGTTTTGCAAGGGATAGGCATTGTCTCCCAGGATGTAATAGCCAGCATTCACCCCACCAATGTCCCTGGTGCAAGGTGGAAAGTAGTTGCCACGACTGGCTAACTCCCACAATGAGGACAGCCTCAAAACCCGAGCGTCATGCAAGCTCCCAGGCATTCCTGCAAACACATTCCAGAAATGTCCCTTTCCATCTACAACTCCTTGAAGGATGATGGAGTGCCAGCCTTTACGGTTGAAATAGTCGCAGTGGTATTCCTGTGGTGCCAAGATGGGTATGTGTGATCCATCAATAGCACCTACACACTGTGGGAGCCCCCACCTGTTCTCAGTATAGGCAGCCATTTCTGCAAACTGCTCCCGGTCTGGTGAACGAATTAGTTCCGGTACCAACAACGTAGGGCTGTGCAATTAATCGTATTTTAATCGCGATTACGATTATGGCTTGCAACGATTATGAAAACAGCATAATTGACAAAATACGATTATTCTGCTGGGTGCGCTTTCGCCCCTCCCTAAAAGCCCACTCGGCCACGTGGGAGTGACATGTGTTGTCAGTGTTCAGCGCGAGTGAAGATGTCAGAACAAGAGCAGCAACTCGTTAAAAAGAAGGGTCAAACTATTTCCACTATTTGCAAGTACTTTGCCATTACATTTCACATCGCTAAAGATATGTGCCCAGTTAGCAACCAGGGCTTTAAGCAACTTGTCAACACGTTGGACAAGCGTTACGCGATGCCGTCTCGGTATTATTTCAGCAGGTCTGCGCTGCCTGCACTATATGACAAATGCCGTGGGGAAGTTGAGAGAGATGTGGCTTCAGCTGACTACTTTGCTACCACAACAGACCTATGGTCTAGCCCAGGGGTGCCCAACCAGTCGATCGCGAGATGTGTCTAAAAATAGAACAACAATATTCTGTTTTATTGTTAATGTCCTGTATCATAATCTTCCTGTGCCAGAATAATGCACTTGAACGCATCAAAGCTTTGTGATTGGCCGGCGTCACCCCATGTGTCGGGGCGTGGCTGAGGGTCTTCAGTACAGGTGGCAATATCGTCCCCTGCCTGCGCTCATCTCTGAAACCAGACCATGTCAACAGCCTGGTGTTTCTTGCAAAACATCTTTAAGAGATGACATGAGCAGCCCTACCAGCATTTGCCATGGTGGCCTAAACATTTTTATTTGGTCTTAAATTGTAGTTCAACATTTATTTCCTGTTACTTCTGGACCATGACGGTGGGCCAGCCTTCAACGTTTAACTGAGTGGAATATGTTGAATATGTTTTACCAACATGTTGGCTATATGTTAAGGAGTTTTCAGTAGGTTGTGACAGTGCACTGCAACATGTTTGATTTCATTTATTTTGGTCTAATTTATTTATCATATTAATAATATATGTTTAGTATGGTTTTGGAAGTGCGCTCCAACATATTTGTTGATCTTGTTTATTGGTAAAATATTATTTGTTTTAAAGTTCAATAAATGGTCAATGAATAATCGTCAAAATAATCGTGATATCAATTATTGACCCAAATAACCGTGATTATGATTTTTGCCATAATCGCACACCCCTACAACAACGTCTCTGCAGCAGCACAGAAGTCTTGCACACACCGGCACACAGTAGTCCTGCTCACTCCGAAAAGATGTCCAATGCTTCTGTACTCTGAGCCGGTCGCAAGCTTCCACAGTGCGATGGCCACCCTCTTCTTTAGAGGTATACACTCGCGGAATGTTGTGTCCTGTCTCTCCATCGCTGGCCGCAGTTTGTTGCACAGGTATACGTAGGTTTCCTCAGACATCCTGAAGTTCTCCACTGAGTGTGTGTGAAAGATGGAACAATCACACCCCACCACTCGGTTGCTCGGTCAAGCATCCAAACACATGGTCTGCGGTGGCAACCTAACTTCTGAAATACACAAACAAAAGCATACATATTTTAATACGTAAAAGTGGTAGCTACAATGAATTAAATACTTGAAACACTTTTGTCATATAATGAGCGTGAAACACTTTGGTCGTATAGTGAGCGTGAAACACATTGCTAGTTAGCGAACGTTAGCTTACCGAGTAGCGTTGTCGTTGAGTCGTCCTGGAGTAGTCTCTGCCGCGTTGTACGATTGCCATAAGTCTCCCCTCAGCTTCTTCTGTATTACGTCTTGCTATAAGCAGCCTTTTCCGAAACAAAGTTTCCCTTCTTGCTGTGATAAAAAACCACATACCAAGAAGCAAGGACACGATGGCTTCCACATCCTCCATTGTTGTTTTGTGAGTTGTGTCGCATTGAAGATGACATCACGGCAGTTGTATGCAGCGTCGCTCCGCCCGCCAAAAAGCTGATCGCCCCGCCTACACTGCGTTACTATGGTAACTACCCCAGTTCCTAAACTGTAATGGAAACGCAGCATTAAAGTGAGCCGGGCTAAACCAAACCGAGCGAGGCCGAGCGAGGCCTGCAGTGGAAACGCGCCATAAGAGAATACAATGCCTTAGGGAGAAGACTCCTCAGAATCTCCTGACAGCAGTGGCGGTTCTAGACCAATTTGACTGGGGGAGCCACTGGGGGGCCAGTTATTTTCTGAGGGGGGCACAATAAATGCAGGACGAAAAAGAGAACTAGACAGTATGAAGTAATTGCGCATAAGAAAACAATGCAATACAGTTATTGGTATTTGTTTCAGTACATTTATTTATTTCAGATAGATCTTATAGTTATTACTGTTAGCTTCAGCTTAAGTTATAGTGCAATGTTTGCACTAACGCCATATTTATATAAAAATAAAGGCAATAAACAGTTACATCTCTACTTTACATAAGGGTGTTTGCACAATCTCACATTCCAGCAACAAAATCCTGCGGTTTTTGGCAAACCGAGTACCAGAAAATATACATTTAAAAAAAAAACTAAAAAAAAACTTTTCATTGTTAGGGGGGTCAGAGGTCAGTGTTAGGGGGGCACTGCCCCCCCCCCCCTGCACCCCCCCCCCTAGAACCGCCCCTGCCTGACAGCATCCACATCAGTTAGATATGTGATTAAGGACAGGAGGGAGTGTAGAGATAGTGACATGCCTCTGATAGAGAGTGATAGGCTTGTAGAGGAGAATGGACACATGATAAGCTGGCAATCTCTGGGGATAAACAGCTGCAGCAGCGGTGGGCTAGACAGGGAGGGCTGGAGAAAGAGAGAGAATGCAGGAGTGCAGGAAAAAGGATTGTAAATAATACAGGAGAGTTGGGAACTCCTCGTACGCTAGGTTTTTGCCTTTTTTAAGAACTAGAGTACACACACACACACACGCACACACACACACACACACACACACACACACACACACACACACACACACACACACCCACACACACACACACACACACACACACACACACACACACACACACACACACACACACACACCACACACACACACACACACACACCCACAGAACGAGACTCCCTACCACCCATACACAAAGAATTCAAGCTAAAAGGGTGAACTGCCTGCCAAAAACTTCAAATAATAATACCCAAAATGTCTATCAACTGAAAAAGTTGCAGGGTATCATCATTGGTTTGTGGACAGCGGTTTTG